AACTTCAGGTAACACTTCAAAAGGAAAATATATATTATTCGATCACTTTGGATGAGTCAACTGATACTACCGAGTGGCAGGTTTTCTACTTCATTTGAGTCATAACAGAAGATTTCCTTTGCTACGAAGAATTACTCACTTTGGGCACTCTTGGTAACAGAATGTGAAGAATACATATCTTCAATTACTTTCAGAATAAATGTTGTAAAGATGGGCTGAATTTGGTAAGTTTAGCGAGTGTATGTACAGATGGTATACCTTCCATTGACAGGACATGAAAGGTTTATCACACAAATATAAAAAAATATTGACAGATCCAAATGCTCTCGTTTCTTTTCTTGCATCAGCAAAATCTCAGAGCTAAAGCATCAAGTTTTAAGTATTGTTAACTATATTTGTGCAAATGCAGCACAGCATCATCAGTTTCATAACATGGTAAAGTTGAATGTTGAGGTATTCAGTATGGATTTGCTGTATCATTCTAGGTGCATTGGCTGGCCAGGTGCTATAATCCTAGCATTCTGGGAAGTCGAGGCAGGTGGATTGCTTGCGCTTAGGAGTTCAAAACCAACCTGAGCAAAAGCAAGACCCCATCTGTACTAAAAATAGAAAAACTAGCGAGGCAGCCTGATGGGTGCCTTTAGTCCCAGCAACTAGGGAGGCTGAGTCAGGAGGATCTCTTGAGCCCAAGAGACTGAGGTTGCTGTGAGCTATGATGATACAACAACACTCTACCCAGGGCAACAAAGTATTTTTCAACTCTCTCAAAAAAAATAAATAGATAAAGTGTGTTGGGTAACACAGGGACAGGTGTTAGCCCAGATTTTATCTCTTTCAAGAACAAAAAGTTAAATTTTGTGAAGAATGAATCAGAATAATTTTGTGAATTATTAAAAGAAAATTTCTATAGGAATACAGCATTTCTGTGTGATGTCATGTCAAACCAAAATAACCTGAATATTTCTTTACAAGGTAAAAGAAAAACTAAGTCTACATATGATATGTGGCAAAAAAAAAAAACAAAACAAAACAAAAAAACCAAGCATTTTGAAAACTATCTTTTTTCAAAACACTTCTAAAGGAAATTTCCGATGAACATTTTTCCCAGTTAAGCAAAGGCCATTCATGAGCTGGATAATATATGCAAATTATTTCAAGAATATATAGCTTTTGATTGGAGGATACAATGAAAAGTTCATTGACTTTGAGAATCATGACATCACACTTAAATTAGCATTTCAGCCTCACTTAATTGATATCTACATTCTGCCACTCAACCCAAATCAAAATATACTTCAGGTCACAAATGACTATACCCTGGCTAGAGAATCAACTGAAACTGTGAAACTCTTTGCTACAACCAAATATTCAAATGCTTTCAACAAAAAGCAGATACAACAAAGTCATTAAAGTTAATTAATTTTAAAATTAGCAAATTTTCATTTTTGAAATTAAGTACATAGTAGTTAGATTTTTACAAAATAATATACATTTTTAAACATATCTACTTGAAGTTTCTCAAATGTGGCCTTTACTTGTAGCTAAATTAATGTGGCCTTCCAACATGAAAAGGTTTCTTTCTCACCCCTGATTTACACTCTCAGTTTGTTGTTCTTTCCAGTACAGGAATTAAAAGGGAAATTACAATAAGAAAAGGGAAAGAGGGCAGCTCCTGTGGCTCAAAAGGGTAGGGCGCCAGCCCCATATGCCTGAGGTAGTGGGTTCAAACCCAGCCTCGGCCAAAATAAATAAATAATAGTTTTTTTTTTTTTTTAAAAAGGGAAGGAATAAGTACTAAGAAGGACTCAGAGTATACAGTCAACCCTCCATATCCATGGGTTCTGCATTCATAGACTTAACCTACCCCAAATAGAAAATTTTACAGAGGAAATGGATGATTTTATCTGTATTAAATATATACAGCCTTTTTTCCCTTGTCAATTGACTAAACAATAAGTATAACAACAATTTACATCACATTTCCATTGTATTAGGTGTGATAAGTAATCTGGTTATGATTTAAAGTATACAGAAGAATATGTCTAGGTTACATGGAAATACTGTTCCATTTTATAAAAGGGACTTGAGCATCCATGGATTTTGGTATCTGTAAGAGTCCTGGAACCAATCTCCTGTGGATACTGAGGGATAACTACATTAGAAGGAGGCCAAGACTATCAATCAGAAGTCCTGGGTTCTAGAACCAGCTTTCACTTAGCTCTATGATCTAAGGATCTTCAGGATACTTCCTTAAGCCAAAGAACTGAGAACTAATCAGCATTTTCAAAGGTATATTCTATGGAATCCTAGTCCCATCAGTTGCCACAAAAATACTTTCAAATTGGCGGCACCTGTAGCTCAGTTAGTAGCTCATTTCTTTAAGAATGACTAGTTCGTTTATCTCTTTACAGCCTGGGCCTGCTAAACAGCAATGACAACTACAACAAAAAAATAGCTGGGTGTTGTGGTGGGTGCCTTAGTCCCAGCTATTTGGGAGGCTGAGGCAAGAGAATCACTTAAGCCCAAGAGTTTGAGATTGCTGTGAGCTATGATACCACAACACTCTACTGAGGGCGACATAGTGAAACTCTGTCTCAAAAAACTTTCTTTTCAGATTCAATATATTTGAGAAACATTACATTTAATATGTAATATATTTGACACACTTCCCTTCCCTTTGGGGTTTTCTGGGATTCACAGTTTACATTACCATATGACAATCTCTAAGATTTGTAGCCAAAAAACCTTATTTTAATTTGGTTGAAGCCGTAATTTTCTGACCCTGATTTTGTCCCTTTTTGTGAGTAACAGACATATGATGCTAATTTGGCACCCTTTAGGAAAACTTCAACTAGATAACCTCTGGAATCCTAGTCATCTGGAGTTCAGTTCATATGTCTGAAGGAGAAACTCTATTCTGCCTACCTTGGTAAATGCAGCTTTTTTGTTGTGAGATACATGGCTTTGAGGTGATTGGGTTTGAAACTTAAGGGAATTCACATAACTTCTGCCTTGCTCTTCTAACAGTGAGGCTTTTTCAGTGCTTAATGCTTGTTGATTAATTCCCAAACCTAGTTCTTACAATTGCTTTTAAGTTGCTCCTGAAGGGTCCACCTCTCAGTGAACTGGTTGTGAAATGTCTTGGGCAGTAAATGGCTGCCTTATCGAGCAGGGCCATTTCACTAGAGCTGCAGTTTTCTCTTTTAAAAAATTGTTTCCCAGAAATGACTTTTTTCTTTATTTCCATTACTAGCTTTTTGAGAAAGATTTTTTTGGGTCACCATTTGTGAACAGAAAAAGAATATATTCTTTTATGATTATAAGCAAATCAATACATTTCACTCAAATGGCCTGTTTTCAAAAGGCCTGTTTTCCCCTTCTAAGGAAACAAACACTCTTTCCCTGACCAAGGACACAAATTTGCTATTCTGGGTAGAGGATGAGAAAGGACTAAGGCTGAATTTGTTGTAGTTGGTACATTTACAAAGTAGAGATCTACTTTTTGTAATGTGTGAGTCTGAGAAATTCTAAAAGTACCTCTTGAGTACATTAAAGAATGCCACACCTTATTGTGTTCTTTCTTTATGAATGAATAGTTCGTCTCTCTCTTTACAGACTCTAGTTCCTAGGTTCCTCTAAGTTCCTAGGTTACCAAGACTTCTGGATTTCTTCTGCTGACTCTGGTGCATCTTATAAGTGCTCAGCCTGAAATTGTATTTTACAAGAGCTCTGCCAAGACACAGATTTGAATACCACAGTGAAGTCTGTATATGAAGAATTGATGATTTTAGAAAACAAAAAGTAGGCTTGGCACCTGTGGCTCAATCGGCTAAGGCACCAGCTACATACACTTGAGCTGGTGGGTTCGAATTCAGCCCGAGCCCACCAAACAACAATGACAGCTGCAACCAAAAAATAGCCGGGTGTTGTGGCGGGCTCCTATAGTCCTAACTACTTGGGAGGTGGAGGCAGGAGAATCACTTGAGCCCAGGAGATGGAGGTTGCTGTGAGCTGTGATGCCACGGCACTCTACCCAGGGTGACAGCTTGAGGCTCTGTCTCAAAAAAAAATAAAGAAAACAAAAAGTAATAGCCACCTTCAGGAGCCCCTGCATCTTTCTTCTGTGTGAACAAGACAACATTCTGAGAGTGGCTGCCCCTGGAAAGCAGAAGTCAGTCTTGTGGATATCTGTCAGCTCTGGGGCTCTCATCAAAGATGGGGCACCTCTAATATCTGGGAGTGGCTGTTCCCCATAAGGCACTGGAAAATTAGCTTTCAGGAATTCACAAGGATACTCACACTTCTAGTACAAGTGCGTCTCCTGACTGTTGTACTGAAAGAAAATAAAGCTTTGGTGACATGACAACGTAAGAACTTCGAAGAGGTTTAGTAATCCTGGTGGAGGACTGAATCCAGACACTCAAAAAGGAAGGTGAAAAAAAATTCAAAAAGGAAGGTGAACATTCTGAAAAATAAGAAGCTTGAAATGTCTTTTGTATATTCAAAAGATCATCTTAAACAAAGGAGAGGCAGGTCTCTGGAGTATAAGCTTGGAGATGAATCCATCTCTTGTGAGGATAAAGGGTTAAAAATAGGCCTTGAACATATGTTCTCTGTATCACCTCATGTCAGCAATTCTTATCTACACTTAGAATCACTGGGAGACTTTAAATGTAAAATGCTGTTGCCCAGGCTCACCCCCACCCAATTAAGTCCAAATCTCTGGGAACTGGGGATGAGCATTGGCATATTTTTTAATTTCCCTGAGTATTTAGCTAGAACTGAAAAACTACTGACCTCACTTATGCTACAACAAGTGGAATTGTACAACAGAGGAAAGATAGTCTTGCCTCAAATCCTCCAGTGTAATAGAGGACTGGGGGGTCACAGCCTTTGTGTCTTAGTGTCTCTGTAAATTATGTAAACATAAGGCATAAGCTCTAAGATTTAAATTTAGCCTTAATATGTATTAACATGATGCTTTTCTCTTTTTCTCAGTTATGCCTTCTCAGAATGTTCTTCCTCGGGAAGGGAACACGAAGAGGAAAGAAATGAATGCTGGATCACAGATAGTCAGGTCCCAGGTAAGTTCCGTTTTCTTCCCGTCTGAAATGCTATTCTAGCTGTCAGAATATGGGCCTTTTTATTTTTTAATTCTCAGAAGTTCTGAGTCTCCCAAATCCAAGCCCAGGTGATTCTTGTGACAGATGATGTAATCTCTACAGGATGTTTTCCATTTACATTATATACCTCTTCATAGTTTTTCTCTCCTTCCAGCATTTTCACTAGACTTACTTTCATGGACTCATATTGATGCTCAGTGTGAAGGAAACAAAAGAAACAGACTTTCCCCCACCCCCTTTGGTTTCTGTTTTCCTTTTTTTTT